GCATTCCCTGATAGCCATGTCAGCTAGCTGCTATTTCTTTAGTGTTTTGTTTTCCTTTAAAATCATCCTGAGTTTTACTAAAGTCTCTTTAAAATCACCAGACTAATCCTAGCTGGACTCAGGTACAACGTTAACAGGCACCCGTGTCCCCGCGCGCCCAGCGGTGGTGAGTAGTGGGGACAGCCGCAGTGAAGGCGGCCGTTTTGCACGGGGTTCGGGACTCAAGGGCTTGTCACTGCTTCCCCAGTGGGGAGTCGCCCGATGCTCCCGACCTCAGGGCAGGAGTTTTTGTTTTTGTTGAGAGAGACAATGTTTTTGCTCCACACGGACCACCCAGCATGAAGAGTCTTGAGCTGTGACCCGAGTCAGGCCTGTCTGGGTGGTGGTGCCCACTGCCGTCTCGGAAGCTTTTATCCACTCTGCCGCGGGCCCTCCCCGGCACCTCTGGGGCACAGCTACACTCCTCACCGTTTGTTCTCCTCCCCATCCCTGTACCAGGAGGACTCTTGTCCTGTAACAGAGAGTGTGGGGAGCGTACGTGTCGGGCACCGTGACTTATCTTAGTCCGAGTTCTTCTTAAGGAAGCGAGTGATAGTCAATTTTACGTCAACTTGGCTGGGTCACAGCTCTCGGATGCTGGGTCAAATGTTATTCAGGGTGTTTCTGGGGGGTGTTTTATTGAATGAGATCAGCGGTTAAATTGATGGACTTCCAGTGAAGCAGATTGCCCTCCAGAATGCAGGTGGGCCTCTTCCAGTCGGGTGACAGCCTTAGTGGGATACAGACTGGCCTCCCCAGGGGGAGGAGGAAAGAGGAATTCTGCCAGCAGGTGGCCCTCGACTCAGACCGCCACATCAGCCCTGCCCTGGGTCTCCAGTTTGCCAGCCTACCCCGCGGGCTTCGGACTTGTTGGCCTCCATTCTCTGTCTCTCTCTCTCTCTCTCTGTCTCTGTCTGTTTCTGTCTCTGTCTCTGTCTCTCTCTCTCTCTACACACACACACACACACACACACACACACACACACAGAGTCCTCTCTATCTGCGGGTTCCACATCCACAGATTCAACCAAGCATGGGTTGAAAATATTTTGGGGAAAAAGATAACAATAGAAAAATTAAAAATAATATAAATTTAAAAATACATTGTAAGAACTATTTACATAGCATTTAAATTGTATTAGGTATTATAAGTAATCTAGACATGATTTAAAGTATATAGGAGGATGTGCGTGGGTTATAGGCAAACGTTACGTCATTTTACATAAGGGACTTGAGCGTTTGTGGAGTTTGGAATCCAAAGGGGTCCTGGAACCCATCCCTTTCTGATACTGAGGGATCTCACACACAGACACACACACACACAGTCTTCTATTCATTCTGTTTCTCTGGTGAACCCTAATTATTAATAATACAAGGCTCTAAGTAAGGAATCTCAAATATTTATAAAGCCATTGAAAGAGGGATCAATATGTCATCCCAAATTTGGTGAATCTTCAAATTGAACACATAACTGGCACATACTCCATCTGTCTGCAGGACTGACCTATAGTAATTGAAGGTACAAACTCCCTAAAATAGGAAGAAAACATGCATGGTCCTCTCCTCCACTGGAGGAAACCATCTTCTGAAGGCAAGAGGTTGCAGACCTCTCCTCTATTCCATTCAATGCAGGGGCTGATTTATTCTCCAGTTATTGAGAAACCACATGTCAGACACTACCATTGGCTGTGATTATATCTGGATGAGTTTAAAGCATGATCCCATGACAACATCCTTCCTGTTCTTGTCATTCTGAGACAAAACCCACAAATCCTGGATCACAGTGTGTCTGTCCTGAGATCCGAACCTGGGCTGATTCGACAGTCTCCTTGTTCTTAGTCCACGTTTCCGTACATCCACCGGGACCCCACGCACGCCCCAAGGGAGTGGCTTCTGCAGCACTTCCTGGGTGCATGTCTTTGAGCCTCTTCTGCATTCTCTTTGCTTCCTACTTTGTTTCTTTTCCCTAGACTTATTTTCTTGTCCAGACCAAGAGGATATTCAGGGAACATACAGCACCATCATAGTACTACCACTTACTTAGGGCCTGTATCTAACAAATCTACATCAGCTTTACTTTTCATGAGAACACTGCAAGGTAGATATTGCCCTCATTTACAAATGGGATTACTATGACTCAGAAATGTTAATCAAGGTATTAATAAACAACTTTTATCGTAAGTTAATGTCTACACTACATACATTGAGCCTTGAATTCCCACTCTGCTATTTCTTCAAGCTTGCAAGAAGCATTCCGACATAATAACAAAAATGTATTTCCATCATTAGTTTTTTTTTCTGAAGTGTGTATACTTTGTTCCTAGAAATCTTGAGAAAACTTGTGTTCTCTTCTATACTGGAGCTTGACTTTCACCATTACACCATAAAGCTGAGAACAGAGCTCCCTACCCCAAGAAATCACACCTGACACGTGAACTAGGTTCATTGGTTCATTCTTGTTCATTAGCGAAGAACATAAAGACTTTCATTTGCTTTTATTCCCTCCTGTGTATAAGATGTAATGACAACAAACAAAATACATTCTGAAGTCTTTGGAAAACCAAACTTTGTATACTTCTCTTCCTACCCCATTTACTCTACCCAGTTTTGCATTTTTTCAATATTTATTGTAAATTCTGTATCAAGGTCTGTGGTCCTTTTGAGTGAACTTGGCCCTGTTGAAAGTCAACCAGTTAAGATGATTGCTTGTCACTCTGAGGGAAAAACAGGGCTTCATTTGGGACAGGTCTAGATTTCAGACCTGCAGTGACTGTGGCACCTTTTCGTGAGTTCCCAGTCAAAGGTCCTTGTCATTACTCACCACGCAGGCCTAAAATCCAGATTCTGTCTCACTCTGCTTGCTTGTTTTGAGGTCATGTTATCCCTTTTCTCCCCCAAGTACAGGGAGATAAACAGCCAGTTCCAACTTCTGTGATGGTTCTTGGAGCCCCTAGACATGGTTCCCTCCAGTTCAGGGCCACACACAGGGAAATGACAGCATGATAACCACCGGTTAGCGCCACACAGTAACTATGAAATTCCTTGTTTTACCATTAAGTAAACCGCAGCTCTAAAAGATCCAACATGTTTGCCAGTATACAGTGTGTCAAGGCTGGAATACAAACCCAGGTTTTCCATCTCGTTAGGTCCACGCTTTCGTCAGTTTCTACTTCCCTTCCCCAAATGACAAATGGTTATTTTATCGCTGTGCAGACTCTGTGAATCTGCCCAGCTTGAAGAATACACGTTCTCTCCTGAACTGATACCCGCACTGTACTCTGAGCCCCACCTCACAACCAAACAAACTTCTGTTGACTTTTTTCCCTCTGTGCCAGGCACAATCCTGTTATTCATGTCTACTCTGAGACCCTTTGGATCGTCTTGGTTTGGTAAGAAACAGGAAGCCGGGAATTAGTGACTTTCTGAAATTGATCAAAAGCCACATTGTTAAAAACATGGGCAAGTCAGAATTCAAATGCCGGCCTTGTTCTACAGGTCACGTTCCTTTCGCCTGAGAATGGCAGCCAGAGGGGATAATGTTCTGGCTCCTTCAGCAACGTGCTTCTCTGCTCTTTCCCCACCGCGGCTACGTCCTTGGACCACAGCACACGCACAGCCCAGGCAGCTGAGACAATCTGGGTTTATTGATCCCAGAGCAAATCAAAGGCAAACAAATATATCTGTGCTCACTTTCTTAGATTCAAAATAAACTTTTCAAAAAACAAGACAAGGACAGCAATGGAGAGAAAAGGCTTTCTGGGCTATGGCAGCCCACGTCTTTGAGCTGAGACTCCCCGGAACCATAGGCAGAGAGGACACTGTCAGACCCAGTGGAAAACCCAGTGGTTTTCCTTGGCCCACCCAGACTAGGAAAAGATTCTCTCTCTTTGGGTTAGAGAGGAGGAAGCGGTGACAGACAAAGATAAGAGCATCGGTGAGTGCCTCTGAGAAGAAGCTTTTGGTCCTGTCCTGCCCACCTCCCTGTCTTTGCCAGACCAAACCCCGGGAAATATAAGACAGCAAGAGCTCTCCCAGTGCCCGGAGCGGAAGATGCTGGGTCATGTCTTCTCGCCTCTGAGAGTGCACAAGGGTGCAGAATTCTCTTTTCCCCACGGCACTGGCGCGTGAAGACGGCTGCTGTGGGTGCCAGCCAGATGCCCTGAGCCAGTCTCACGGTCTCCAAATACTCCTGGGGGATGTGGGAAGTAGTAAAACGTTTTTCTAAGTGGCAGGATAGGCCCCTGAGGGCTGCGGGGTATGAAAGGCCTTTTAGACAGGACGACACATGCAAGTTCTACTTGACCAGCGCCCACATGCACAGGAGGACTTTTTTTTTTTTTTTTTTTGAGACAGAGTCTCACTGTGTTGCCCGGGCTAGAGTGCCGTGGCGTCATCCTAGCTCACAGCAACCTCAAACTCCTGGGCTCAAGAGATCCTCCTGCCTCAGCCTCCCGAGTAGCTGGGACTACAGGCATGCGCCACCATGCCCAGCTGATTTTTTCTATATATTTTTAGTTGTCCAATTAATTTCTTTCTAATTTTAGTAGAGATGGGGTCTCGCTCTTGCTCAGGCTGGTTTCGAACTCCTGAGCTCAAACAATCCGCCCACCTCTGCCTCCCAGAGTGCTAGGATTACAGGCGTGAGCCACCGCGCCTGGCCAGGAGGACTTTTTAGCAGATACTAACGTGGCCAGTGGCTGCTCCATGATCAGGTGCCTCTCCCTGAAGCCACGACGCTGGATAGGGTCCCTGGAATTTGGAAACTATTCCAGGTATGTGTGTGTGTGCACAGTGAAGGAGGGGGAGGAACTTAATAGAATTTATTTCAAATTGGATTGGCCTGATCAAAGTTTTCGCATTTTCTACTGGCATGTTGAATGAGAACTTGGATAGAAACTAAGTTAGTAGAGGCAGTTACATTTACATACACATTAAACATGTGGATTTACCATTTATTCCCATTTTGCTCATTTACTTAACAGAGGGTCAGTTCATTCATTTTACAAATGCAGACTTTCAGGGTAAGAAGAGATAATCATTCTTCCAAAAATAAAGAAAGGGACTATAATAGACTTTGCAAATCTATGTACCACGTGGAAAAGTCTCATCTGCTCCCGTATCGTTAACTATTTGTTTTTACACCGGTGACTCCCAAGTCTTGTCAGCGTCCTCTTCCTTCCACTTGGCCACTTGAGCATTTCCAGCCTCGCACCACCAAATTCAACACATTCAGGGAGAAGAGGCTGGGCTGGGGCCACAGAAATCCCCGTTCTAATCTCAGAGGCAGTGCTCAGTAGGAACTTAATACATTTTTACGTGAATTTGTTTTTTAAAAAAATCAACAAGGTTATCTGCCCACAGGCAATTTTATTTGGTTTTTGAAATTTAGAATGGTTTTCTATTACTTGGCAGAGAGAATGAAGTACATTCCCTCCTCCGTGGGATTCCGAAGGAGAACGTATCCAACGCTGTTTGCTGTTGAGTGGCGATCAGGTAGGGAAGGGAAGTTTCTGGCCGAGCCAACTCTCCTTTGTGAAGATGACGGCTCACATGGAGGAGAATGTCGTGTGTTACGGAGCAGAAACGTGAAAGAGGGCTGAGGTCCCCCTTGGAGGATCCCAGGCAGAAACCTGACCCTCATTCCCCAGGTCCACTGCTCTCCAAAGGGGCTCCGCACTGCTGGGGAGAGGGCAGTCTCTTAACCACTTGGGTGAAGGATGGTCTCTAAGGTCTTATCTCTGACACTCTTTAGGAACCGCAGAACAGCAGTTCCGCCCGTTCCCCTGTCTTCCAAAGCCCGAGGTGGCCCTGGGAGAGGGTTCAGCTTTCGACTCTTTGCTTTGGCTGCAGCTGTGATGAGGTATTTGGTCACCATGGTGATATGATAGCTGCGTAAATCTGCCAGGGCCTCCAGACACTGGTTGTAGGCTGTCAGCAAGTGGCCACGTCTGGAGGACAGGATGTATTCCCTCAGCGGGGGAGCTGAGCGGATTTCCTCTACGAAGGCCTTATGGGAAGGAGGCATGTAGTCCCTCATTCTGTGCAGAAAGTCCGCTGCAAGAAACAGCCCAGAACAATGTCACAGCTCCACATGGACACACAGGGAGCCTGTCTGCTTCTCCAGACACGAAGGCACCAGACACCGTTGCTGGTGTCCTAACTCAACCTACTTTGCTGGCTCCTTTGCTTGCAGACTTCAAAAACCCAAATGCGTATTTCTGACTGTTGAGACACGTGGAAGAGGGAATGAAGCAAGCACATCTCAGGTAACTCAGCTAGAACTAGATCTACCAGCCAGTGTGTAAGTATCTATTATTTACTAGGTGTAAACAAAGTATCCAGCAGCTAGCTACTATGCGGAATGGCCGTGAAGGCAGGACACAAATCCTTACACTGATTAGCTAAATACTCTCCTGAATTTTGTTTCCTAACTGCCTCGGTTTGGAGGGAGTGTTAGGGAAGACGAGAGTTGCAGAGTGTATAAGGGGAAAAAAATAAGGAATGAGCAACTGTTTTAGGAATAGCCTCTTGAAGCCGAGTTGTTTAAAAATCAAAACAATAGATATTTGTAGGAAATTCATTATGTATTTAATATGACGCATGGTAAATCAACTGTTAACATCACCAAATATAAATATCCATGGAAAATTGTCACACTTCTAGAGAACTGACTTTTGAGGAAGAGGCTGGACTCTACGACACCAAGTTCTAGTCATTTTTTCCTAACCCAACTTGAAAACTCTACAGTGGGAAGTGCCTACTTTTGCAGCTGTTAAGCACATGGCCTTGATGCTGGCAGGTAAGGAAACGAGCAGTTGCACCCTCTGACATGATGAACCCTCTTCTGGTCTAAAAAGATTTGGCTGGAGGTTGTACCACGTAGGGGGAGGGCTTCCTGCCGGAGCTCAGAACCCTGCCAGCCGGCTCTGGGCTCGTCGCTATAATGTCACGGCCTTCAAACTCCAGATCTATCTCTCCCCCGTTTTAGAAAAAGGAAACTACCGCCTAAGGATCCGAGCCAAACAGTGAACAGTTGGAAATACAGCAATGTTTTAAGATTTGGAAATGAAACTCAGGATCCTGCCGAGATCTGATATTCTGATATTAATTGACTTGAAACGATAGCGTTTGGCAGGCACACAGTTCCTCGGTTGATTTAGAGAGGTATAGACTTCATTGCATTTTAATTTACGCTTGGTTTTATCAATTGGTAAAAACAAAACAACGATGACAAAAAAAACGGTTCTTCCTCCCTCTCCTCTTCTTCTCAAGAAAAAAAAGTCTGACTTACCGCTTTCCCTGCTATGACGAACGCCCAGGAACTCATCGAAGGCGTGAAGCACCGTGCTCTGAGCCGCGCTCCCTCCCGAGTAGCTCAGGGGCTCCTGGGAGACGCCCTCGTACGTCAGCCCTGCAGGCATGGCTGGGTTGTCTTTCCATCTGGGCCAGAGGGAAAGTTGGAGAGAAGAAAGTGGCGGTTGGAGCGGACAGTATATTTTCCGTTGCAGAAGCTGAGAGTGAGCCCCAAAGGGAACATGATTTCAGTGCTAACTTCGGGGCAAGGGACTGGGCATCTTTGCAGGGTAAGTACTGAAGCATCATCGTAACCCCAGCTTCGTAACAGGTCAGAAAATCGCAGCCCTTCTCTCCCTCATTTAAGGATTCTTCCAGGCAAGGCCTGGTTGCTCACTCCTACAATGCCAGCACTTCGGGAGGCCAAGGCAGGAGGATTGCTTGAGGCCAGGCGTTTGAGAGCAGCCTGGACAAAGTAGTGAGACTCCATCTCTTAAAAAAAAAAAAAAAACCTTATCCAGGCATGGTGACTTGCACCTGTAGTCCCAGCTACTCAGGAGGCTGAGGCAGGAGGATCGCTGGAGCCCAGGGGTTCAACGCTGCAGTGAGCTGTGATCTGGCCACTGCACTCTGGCCCTGGCAATAGAGCGAGACGCTGTCTCAAAAAAAAAAAAAAAAAAAATCCTTTCAGAGAAGCAAACACTATTTAGTGAGGAATCTTTGGCATTGGTGCCATGACGTACTTATTGAAAAAACTCAAAAACTGAGTTATAAAGATGCCATCAATGCTAGTCAACAGGAGCAAGCAAGGGGCCTGGAAAGATCTTCTTCACTTCCTCTGCTAATGTCATCCTTAATGACCTGATACTTGCAACTTTACAAGTACATCTTCATGAATGCGTACCAATACACACAGATACACACAAATACGTGCACGGACAGTCACACACCCACTTTTGTCCTTCCCTGAAACAGTGACAACTGTAATAGTTGTCACATTAAACCATCAGGTCTAGATATTACCTGGATTTGTGAGCAGGCCTTTACCTAACACTTTGTGGCCAGCAGGCACTGATAAGGGTGGACAAGAAGGGTAGCAACAGAGGGCTCAGTGCAGCCTGCGGCTCTCCAGAGGCTGAAGTCAGGGACACGCAGAGGCTGGAACTGGGGCTCTTGGCTGCGCCAGACTCCGAGGGACATCATCTCCCTCCCTTACTCTTTACTCCCTTCCCCCGCTTTCCTCCCCTCCTGTCTCCCTGATGTCCCTTCTTCTTTGTTTTCTCTAGGTCCCCCCTTCCTGCCTCCGTCTGTCCTACTCATTTCTCCGCGTCTGACTTTTCCCAGCGTCCTGAACGACCGCAGCGATCGCAGAGTGACCGTGGGCGGCTCGCGGTGAGACGCTGGCACCCCCGCGTCCACTCATCAAGCGCCGCCACATCCGTTTTCTCATTTGACCTCCTGTGACCAGGGCAGGGCAGGAATCATTTACCTCATTTTATAGACAAAGAAACCAAGACTCAAAGCAATTGAGTCTCTGGTGTCACACTGTCAAAGAATGACGGAACCAGAACGCGAACCGCGAATTGTCATCCTTTATTTTCATTTCCCCAAGAATCCCTTATGTGGATTTCTGTTTTCACTAAGGAAAAGAATCTTTCCTTTTTATGACCAGGAACAAGCAATCTGCTCTGTTACGAGTTTACATGACAGATTAATGCTGATGTTTCACTTTCTTCCTGTAATTCTAAAAGTCATCTTGCTCAAGAGAAGGGACAGGCACACCACACGCATGTGCGGGGCACGGGGACTGCGTTGTGTGCCGTTCGTGACCTTCTACAAACACCTGCTGAGGGTGGAAACGCGAGGAGCGGCTGGTCTCTTAGCGGGCTGTTCGGGGCTGGCGGTCAGGCTTTCACCGGAGGAGCAGCAGGGCGGCCCCTGCAGTCGGGGCGCAAAGGAGGGGTTCCTGCTGCGCGGCCCTAAGGAGCTGCTGCCTTGCTGCTGTTGCTGTGAGCTCAGTTCATCAGCCTCTCCGGGCCTCGGGTTCCTGGTCTGGGTGATGCTAGTATCCGCCTCACCGGGTCACGGTGCAAAGGAAGACGCTGCCTGCCCAAGGCCGGAACACACTGAGCAGGCAATACGTATTAGCCATTCTGTCATGTCATTTAGCGCGAACTGAAATCTTTGCTCCTCCCTCTTGCTATTTTGTAACTGTGTAAAGATTTTTCTGGGCCTCAGTTTCCAATCTGCATCTGGTTCCTACCGCTGTCCAAGTGTGAAGTAGGTTCCAAAGAAGTTTTGTGGCTGTTAAACATCAGGACACTGGCCCCATAAAATTGCTGAGCGCCATTTTACAGGGAAGAGATATTACAGACGTGACTGCTGTTGGGTGACACATGGAGCAACCACACAGGGGTCACTGGCTCCCATCTTTCCTTGTCATCGGCCTGACGCTCTCCTGTAGTCATCTCAGGCTCCATTGCTAGCCCCTTCCTGTCCTGACCACTTCTACGTGTTGGGCTCTCACAAGGGTCAGTCCTTGGACTTCTCACCACTGTCACCTCCCAGGTGATCTTATCTAGCCTCACAGATTTAACACCAATGACATTCTGACTGTTTCCATGTCTACACCTACAGCTGGGCCTCCCCCCCATTCCAGAGGGTGTGGTGCGGCCACCAGGAAGGTGGGGCATGCACACCAGCACTGCGGTCCAGGAAAATGAAAGAAACACATCTACTTTCAAAACCCACGTTCTCCAGCTTGACACGGCCAGTCTCAGCAAGTGACATCGTGTTTCTTTGAGTAGCCCCGTGATGGCTCTCATGCATTCTGAGGTCCTCTGTTTGTGGAAAAAAGGAATTATTTTCCTCTCAAATCTCTGTAGGCAAGGTTATTTTTAGCCTTTTCTTGTAGCATATTTCTAGCAACCCTAAGAAAAGGGGAAGTTCAAACAGGAAAAAAAAAAAAAGAGAGATGACATTTTTCCCGCCAGGGGCTAACTTCCCTGAGAAATTTAACGTGAGTGGGAACTAAAGGAAATAGATTTCATCTACACACGAAATCACTCTCTGAAATAAAAATGATTTTTAAAAAGGAAACAAAAAATAATAAACCAAACATAAGACAAATCAAGAACAAAGGAGCAAATTCCCATTTTTTAAGACAAACTTAATGGAAATTCCCAATAATCCAGATGTTTTTGGCCATCTGTACTTACAGATGCATTTAGGACTAGTACTGGTCACTTAGCAACATGGGAAAGCTTTTGAAGATCAGAAACAGAAGGGAGGCATTTACACAAATCACAGGTAAAATGTGTCACTGACCCAGAACTTACATTTTAATAAAAACAAAGTCACCCTCTAGTGCACATCTCACCATAAGGATTTCCTTGTCAGATACTCTGACATAAGGAAGAAAAGGAATTCACTTAGTCCCTTGAAAGATACAGTGGTAGGTACAATTCTAAAAATGGTTCCCCAAGATCCCATCCTAATCCCTAAGGCTGTTAGTACTATGAGATACCAGGCCTGTCCATACGACACATTCCACAGCAAAAGGAACTTTGCAGATGTAATTAAGGTTACTAATCAGTCGACCTTAATATAGGGTACTATGCTGGATTTCCTAGGTAAACTGAATCTGGTTACCTAAAACCTTTCAAAGCAGAGGGTTTTCTCCAGCTAGTGGCAGAAGAAGTCACAGAGATTCCAAGTCCTGGAAGGGTTGGAAGGACCACTGCTGAGACGGAGACACCACATGACAAGAACATGGGAGGCCTCTGGAAGCCGAGAGCAGCTCCCGTGTGACAGCCGGCAAGGACAGAGATCTCCGGTCCAGGACACAAAAACCTGTGTTCCGGCAACAGCCTAACCGAGTTTTGAAGCAGATTCTTTCCCAGCCCAGACAAAGACTTTGGCCTTTTCAGACCCTAAGCAGAGAAGCCAGCTGAGCCTGCCTGAGCTCTAACTTACAGGACTGTGAGACAAAAAATGTGCGTGGTTTTAAGCTGGTGAATGTGCGGTCATGTGTTATGAAACAATGGAAAACTATCAGATTTAGAGAGTAAAGTGAAGCAAAAAGAGACTTCGCAGGATCGAGTGCTTCCTCAGTCCCGGTCTATTTCTGTATTCAGCATGAGCTTGCTACATGGCAGCATGAAATGGTTTTAAATGACCGTTTTCCCTCTCGTCTAATCCTGTCCGAGGTGTACAGAGAGAGCCCAAGTTCTGAGACACACTTTCGACTCCACATTGCCCCCTTCTCTCCCCTCTTTACTTGACTCCTTCCTCCATCAGCCCGTCCCCATTGCTCTCTAGTTACTGTCTGGAAACTGTCCTCCTCCTACCCTTACAGTGGAGGTTCCCCACCCTGGCTGGCCTCCCCCTGAAGTATCTCACACTTCAGATCTACCCGGTCTGGAGGAAACGCTTGGTTCCTGTTGCCGCTCCGTCCGCGCCAGTGGGACGTGTCCGTGGCAGATTTTAGCATTCGCCACGTCTCCTGCTGCCTCCGGGCGCAGCCTCAGCCCTTTCTACCCGTAGCACTGCCGCGGCTCCCGGCTGACAAGACGGAATCTACTTCACATTTGCACCCCCATCCCTCCTCTGCCTCCACCTTTTATTTTCATCCTTTAAAAACTAAAAAAACTAGAGAGCAGGGAGAAGAGAAAGGATGAGATTACACGTGATGGTAGAAAGGGGAAACTGATGATGTGGAGATATTATGTAGGCCTCATATTAAAGATTTTTTTCCTCCTCTCAGAAACAAAGAGACATGGGTAGTCGTCAGGGCGTGATGAACATACACAAGGTCACAAAATTCACAGAGGCCCCGTTACGTGCAGAAGAGAGAGGAAACTTCGAAAGTTGGTGAAAAGAAATCACCTCCCAGAAGCCCCGCTTTTCGTACTGTCCCCTTGACCATCAGGGTCAACACATGCATTTTGGAGGGACACAGACATTCAACCACAGCAGACGGCCCTTCCAGGAACTTTACAAGGAAGCTTTTATGCCAAGCTTTTATGCCCTCCAGCTGCTTTGCTAACAAGGGCAACGATGGATAGAAATTATAGAACTATGTGGATGACATATTGGGCTTTTTTTTTAAATGTCAACAAGATAAAATTCTAAGAAAAGTGAGCACAAACAGATCTCAGTGGCCTAAGGGCAGTCAATCTGAGCTTAAACATTCAGCCCTCCATGTCATTTGTCATGCAGATGGTATCTGGCTTCTTTCATCTGGGAGTGGATTCAGGTGCTAACTTGGCTAGTGACCTGTTTCTTCCTCTAGGAAGCTTCTGTTTCTCTCTTCCTAAATTTGGACAATGCTACAGAGACCTCACGCAGACAAGCAATTGAACTGTACTTACCCAGAGAGAAAGATCCGGATGACTGCATAAAATATGTCTGGATCTACATAATCTGGAGAAGCAATCAAAATGTGAACTTTACTACAGGCAAAAAGAAAAAAAAAGCAATTGGTTTCATGTGCAGGGGCCCTGTGGCTCTCCTGGGGCTGCCTCCTCCCTCTGATCCGCACGGAGACCTGCAATGAGAGAAGCAGCAGAGGGAGACGGAATGTTCTCTTCTGCGGGCCCTCCCTGGCGCACACAGGACACTTAAGCTGTTCCATATGTGGCCCTTTTCTATCTGCGGTGCTTTCTCTCTCCGTACTTAATAACGACGACAGAAAAGAGATCAAGGCCATTTTACAAATTTAGTATTTTAAACAGATGATCTTCGAGAGAATGTGGGAAATGGAGAGCAGAAAAGCAGAATCACTTCTCCCAAAATTCCATTCCCCACACCCTGGAACAGGTCTGGGGAGTCAGCAGAGGCACGGGAGTGCACTGTCCCCTGCCCAGGGACGGCGACTCCAGGGCAGGTGCGGGGCCACTCAGCTCCGCGTTTAGCTGCGTTCATGACCGTGTGCGGCTGTTCTTGAGGTGCTGCCAATGCTGGGAGATCATTGATTGAGCTAGCTAGCACTCTGGGAGGTGGAGGCGGGAGGATCACTTGAGGTCAGGAGTTCGAGAGCAGCCTGAGGAAGAGCAAGACCCCATCTCTACTAAAAATAGAAAAATTAGCTGGGCATGGTGGCGAGCACCCACAGTCCCAGCTACTCGGGAGGCTGAGGCAGGAGGATCGCTTGAGCCCAGGAGTTTGAGGTTGCTGTGAGGTAGGATGACGCCACGTCACTCTAGCCTGGGGAACAGAGCCAGACTCTGTCTCAAAAAAAAAAAAGAAAAGAAAAGATAAAAACCAACGCAAACAAATGAGGAAAGACACGTGCTTTTGAGAAAAGGAACGTGAATGGCAAGTACCTGTGTGTACACACACACACACAGAACGAGGAGATAGTGAACTCATCCGAAATCAGGGACATGTAAATTAAAATCATGATGAACACTATTTTATACCTACCAGATTGGCAACAAACGAATGAATGAATGAAAAAAGCTGACAATATTAAATGTTGGTGGGATTTCAACTGACTACAAACACTTGGACAACTGGGTGTAAACTGGGCTCAAGTGATCCTCCTGCCTCAGTCTCTTAAGTATCTTTGACTACAGGTGTGGCCACCACCCCCATCCCCGGCTTCATTTCCATTTTTAAAGCCTCATGTTTTTATTGGATGTCTCATCATCACCTAAAATTTAACAGGTCTTTTAAAAAAATTCACATTTTTTTATTTTAAAGAAATTACTTAAGGTATTAAGACTAGATAATATGTGCTTTTGGTACATAAATTACAAAGGTACAACATAATGAAAAGTCTGCTTTTCCTCCCATTGCTACCCCCAAAGGCCAGTAACCCTCACCAGAAGCAACCCACTGTTATGGGCATCTTCTGTGGAATATTTTTACGTAGAATATTCTTGGATTGCTTATTGGGCAAGACATCCAAAACTTATTTGATTCTTCTTCTCAACTTCTTGAGGAAGGAAAAAAAAAGTAAAATTTCTAAAACTATCAGGACATTTTGAGTCCTAATCTTCACACAAACTGACCCCAAGACACCTACCAGGGTTTCGTCTACTTGCTCTTTCACTAAACCCCAACCACTGGGATCTCCTGCCAACATCCACTGATGTTTTAAATCTGAGAACATTATTGCAAAATGTAACAAGTACCAAAGCACATTCGGCACCCTTCCCTGTGTTCCCTGTCTCCTTTGACACTGACCAAACAAGCAGAACAAGAATCCATCTACCTGCCAAAGCCATCATGATTCTCTTCACATCTCCAACCCTCCTCTGCCTCTGAGCATTCCTAACCTCACCCATGCTCAGCCTTTTCCCTCGATGTGTCTTGTTCATCTCTGTGTTTCCGTCACTGCTCAGTCCCTTCCCTCTCCCAGGTTTGGTGGCGGAGCTGGCGGGTTTTGGGCAGCTGTGTGTCCCTGGATGAGACCCGGGCCCTTCCTGAGGAAGCAACATGGGGCCGAGATCTGAAGCACGAGTGGAGTCAGCTGGGCAAAGGCTGAGTAGAAGGGAGTGTTTGAAGCAAAGGAAACAGCAGGCCTTGAAGTTAAAGAAATACGATTCTTTTCAGGAACTGAAAGCAAGTACCAGAAAGAGGGACGGAAACATGGTGTCAGATAAAAATAAATTAAAATGGAAACAGCCTGGGATCAGCTAATGCCAGGTCTCGCAGAACAGGTTAAAGGTTTTCACCTTATCTTCAGCATAAGGAATAAACTAGCGCTGCTCAACAGACATAGAACGTGATTTGCACATGTAAGTGCTGTGGTTTGGAAGTTCGTCTCCTCTAAACCTCACGTTGCAATTGGATCCCCTGCGTTGGAGGTGAGGCCTAGTAGGAGGTATTGGGATCCCTCATGAATAGATCAACGTTCTCCCCAGGGGTGGGTGTATCTCTATCACTTCCAAGAGAGCCAGTTGTTTTTGTTTTTGTTTTTGAGACAGAGTCTTACTCTGTTGCCTGGGCTAGAGTGCCGTGGCGTCAGCCTAGCTCACAGCAACCTCAAACTCCTGGGCTCAAGCGATCCTCCTGCCTCAGCCTCCCAGGTAGCTGGGACTACAGGCATGCGCCACCATGCCCGGCTAATTTTTTCTATTTTTAGTTGTTTGCCTACTTTCTTTCTATTTTTAGTAGAGACAGCGGTCTCGCTCTTGCTCAGGCTGGTCTTGAACTCCTGAGCTCAAGCGATCCTCCCACCTCAGCTTCCCAGAGTGCTAGGATTACAGGCGTGAGCCACCGCGCCCGGCCGAGAGCCGGTTGTTAACGAGAGCCGGTTGTTAACGAGAGCCTGGCACTTTTCTCCTCTCTTTCCTGCTTCCTCTCCTGCTGTGTGACCTCCACACACACTGGCCCGTCTGCCAAGAGTGGGAGCAGCCTGAGGCCCTTGCCGGGTGCAGGTGCTCAATGTTGAACTTTCCAGCCATCAGAATCACAAGCCAAATAAACCTTTTTGCTTTATAAATACTCAGTCTCAGATATTCCGTAATTGTGACACAAAACAAAGATAGTAATTTTAAATTTTCTACAGTAACATTTCAAACAGGAAAAAAAAAATCAATGAAATTAACATCAACACTATATTTAATTTAATCCCAAATATCCAACATATCATCATTTCCTTATGTAATCAGTACAAAAATTATTAATGAGATTTTTTTTACTGCCTTTGAAATCCTGTGTGTATACTTGTACATTTCTGCCTGACATTTACAGTCCATTTTAATTTGGATGCTGAATTTTCAACAATTAAGTGAAAGATAGTCTTTCTAACAATAAAAGTACATTTAAGGCCGGGAGTGGTGGCTCACACTTGTAATCCTAGCATTCTGGGAGGCTGAGGCGGGCAGATTGTTTGAGCTCAGGAGTTCGAGACCAACCTGAGCAAGAGTGAGACCCCGTCTCTACTAACA